GTTGTTGCCGCCGTGACAGACAAATACTCTTGTTTTAGGATGCGCCAAGAGGTCATTCTGTGGTAGCCAGTCAACCAGTAAAGTGTTGTTGCCCAGGTTGGCTGGCTTTTGTCCCACATACCGCCAGATGACTTTCTGAGGTAGCTGTGCAAAAGCTGCAGCAATTTCTTCGGTGACATCTTGCGGAAGCTTTGCGATAAGAGTGCCCAAGGTCATCATCACAACGCCGTGATCTCCAGAACTCTGGACAAACTCCTCGAGATCCACAGGGAGCTGCTTTGGAGGCTTACACTGAAATCCACCCATGTAGACGATATTCGGCATCGTGGGTCGGGGAAATTCAAAGACAAAATCGTTTCTCAAAAGCCACATATCAGCATCCACAAAAAATGTCGTATAATCCACATCAGGACCAAAGTAGCGCCTCACTATCGGTTTGTAGTGACGTTCTGAAATGTACAACCTTGTCAAGCCACTCACGATGTAGGATACAACATTCAAGATTCTTTGAGGGAAAGTCATCTTATCTGTCAACTGGGCTGTGAGATGGGGTGTATACGACAGAGGGGATGGGGCAATGAGGTCATGAGCTTCACCTAGGAAAGTCCATCTGGCATTGTAAATGAGGGGAACGTTGAGATGGCGTGCAAGCAGTGCCCCTCCACCTATGGTGGGATCAGTCAACACGACGTCGTACTTGGCATTATGAAATGACTGCATCTGAGTTTCATTTTCGAACATCTGAACTACTGTCTTACAGTGCTTCTCGTAGAATAAAGAAAATTGAGTTATAAGCGAGAACCGAATCTGAATGTTATTCCAAATGCGAGGCAGAAGAGATAGACCCCTCCCCTGAAGTCTCATTTCCACTTGTTGAAACACAAATGATTCATAATGGTCCTTAAAGCCATCCTGACCATCGAGGGTGACAGAGTTGTAATGAGGAGACTTTTCTGGAATGTACCAGCTATCGGATGGCCGCGCCACTGTGACCTTGTGGCCTTTGGCGTGAAGTTCCTCGATCACTCCATTCATGTTTAACCAGTGGCTGCCGTCTAAAGGGTACACCAATATTTTGCCTCCAAATACACACGGAAGTTGAATCAACAGCAGAGTAAAGGTGATCATGTCCGACTTTGTCATTGTGATGCCCATGAGAGACCTTGAAAAAATATGAAAACAAGGAAACGAACTACTGTTAGTTTGGTTGGCACATTCATGTTCAAAAACCCTGCAACAATATTCAAACATATTTATAAATTATTTTCTTTGCCCTTCTATGTATCTGTCAATTCCTTCATCATAGAATTACTGGTACATGGACATAAAAAAAATTATGGTTACCGGTAACTTATTTTGAAATCAGAGGTCAAGGATAATTG